CTCTCTCTGTCAAATAAATAGATAAAATCTTTAAAAAAAAAAAAAGAAAAAGAAAAATCTGGCCTTAAGCAGTATTTCAAGAGTCAATTCCATAGTTATTAACAGTTCTCTATACCTCTTAACTTCAAATTCATCAAAATAAATCTAGGGGGTTTTTTATATAAAAGTTTTTCGCTTTTTAAACAGATGTATGAAGAGCTGTACTTTATAGATGCTGAATCTTACAGAGGCATTCACCATCTCTATAGAGGAGACGGTTATTTCAAACTGTAACTTGGTTCCACAATAAATTGCTAGTTTTTGGAAAATAGGGTCAGAAACCTCATCTCACCTTCCACAGTGGTCTCCTCTCCAGTTAAGGGAACACTGAAGCCATCCTCATACTCTGCAGTCACGTTGACTAAGTACAGCGTCTCTGGCTTCAGGTTGTTGAGAATGACGCTGGTGCTTGACGCTGGCTCCACCACTGTGACCTCAGCATCCCCAGTAGCTTCCTTGTAGGTGATGTGGTATGAAAAAACATTTTCTCCAGCAGGAGACCAGTTAGTTTTGAAACTGTAAGAAGTCGTCTCAGAAAAACTAAGATCCTTTGGAGGCACATAAGCTATTTAAAAAAAAAAAAAAAAGGACACAGTTAAAATGTTTAAATCTATAAAGCAAAAATGGACCTGATGACTGTTTCTGAAATGGCTTATGTTCATTGGGGGAATAGTCATTGAGACAAATGTACTGAGTAAATATTCCACACCTGACCTCTGAGAGAAGGCCTCTCATTTACAGCCCTACCAGGAGGTCTTGATCATCTGTCTTGACCATTCACAATACTAAGTTACACTGTTTAAATGCTTAATTAAAATTTAACTGAATGGGGTTTCTAAACACAAAGCAGTAATGGAATGGTCCTGCCCACAACTGGAATATTCAAACAGTAACAGACCTAAAATGAACCCAGCAATATTTTCCCATTAATCCTCGGCAATCAGATATTAACTTTTGGTGGTAGACAGATATTTCAAAGTAATGATTAAGGAATTCTTCCTAACCAAAGAATATTCATTAAACTAAATCATAGGAAGAGCCAATGTTTAAGGCTCACTGCTGGTCTCAAGGAACGTACAATCAAATTGGAAAGACAGGAGAGTGTCACATTATTAACAAAACAGAGCAGTACCTATGAACCCGGATGACTGGAAGTGGTAATAAGTGTTACAGCACTAGAACAGCTAAGGAAGACTTAATGAAAGAGTTGGGACTTTTTACTGAATGCTGACAAATAGAATTTGAACAAATGAAGAAAAGAGGATAAGGAATTCCAGCTGTGAGGAACGGTGCCCAAAATTGGTCCAGGGAAGGGAATGCATAAGAAGAATTCAAAGCTCTAGGACTATGTTCTCGTCACCTTTAATTCAAAGGACTTGGCTCACCATCTAGCACATAGTAGACACTCAACTACAGGTTGTTGAATTGAATATGACAAATAGGTGTGATAAAGCTGGTGCCCAGCTCAGCTTAAGGATCTAGGATCAAAAACATCTCATGACTCATGGTAAATAGCTTTTTCACCAATAAATACATGATCCATACCCAGGAGAAAGTCATATCTCAGCTAAATAAACTAAGCTCAATAGATTTCTATAAGACAGGGAAGTTGCTTTTTCCTGTATGTAGAAAGAATCGGAGAAGCATATTATCCACAATTTTAGAACCAAAAAATGCTTTGTTCATGAAGGGATAATTTTGGCTCTACAAAGCTTACTAACCTTTTTTCTTTATAGCTGCCAATTCTTGCTCAATTCTAAGGCAGATAGACTGTGTGAGTTCAAAAGATATTCTCTGAAAAGCATCAAAATCTTCCACTGTGAACACATGGGTGTCAGCAGGAGGAGAGGCAATAGCTTCTAATTCTGAGCGAACAGCATCCTTCACACCAACTGCAAAGATTTCCACGTCCGAATTCCTTAGTTTTATAGCAGGATCTCTGAAAGCATCTGAAGATTTCCCATCAGTGATAAGAATCATGACCTTTGGTACGTTGCCTCTTGAACCCTTGCTAGGAACAAATATTTTCTCTCTGACGTAAGTCATTGCTTTCCCAGTGTTTGTAGATCCTCCTCTGTAGGGGAAGGTGTTTATTGCTTCAATTATATCTTCAACTTTGGTGAATTTTTTCAAAGTGAACTCAGTATGAGGATCCCGGCTGTACTGGACAAGACTTATCTGTACCCTGTTTGGTGAAATCTCAAAACTTTTTACAAGAACTTCCAGAAAAGCTCTAACTTTAACAAAGTTTGCAATCCCGATGCTATAGGAACCATCAACCAAAAACACGATATCGGCTTTTATATCCACACCACGTGAGCATTCTGTAAAAAGAAAAAAGAAGCCCATTACAGTTCAACAAATATAAATTAATCATGAAATATAGATATCTGGTTTTCTTAATAAGCACACTTATTTAAAAGAAAACCATTGCAAATATTTTGAAACTAAACCTGACCCAGTAAGACATACTGTCAAACAGACCATCACATATACCAAACCCAATGATAGACCTATTCACTTACCCACTTGAACTTTCATTGGCTGAGTCTTCTCCATTATTGAAATGGGTTCGCTGGATGTCAGTCCCTTCATCGCCGAAACACTGATCTGGTATTCTGTGTCTGCTGAAAGGTCACGAACACTGAGCATGGTGGTCTGAGGCCCCACACTGAGAGCGTGCTGTCGGCTTCCAGCAGTCATTGGTGTAAGAAGGACTTTATAGCCAGTCACTGGGCTAGGAGATGGACTCCAACTTAGCTTAATGTATTTTGATGAGACTTCCATGGCAACCAAATTTGAAGGAGGTTCAATAACTACAAAGTAACAAGCAGAACAGTGATTAAAAACAGTGAAATGTAGGGGTGCCTGGCTGGCTCAATTGGAGGAGCCTATGACTCTTGATCTCGGGGTCATGAGTTCAAGCCCCACGTTGGGTGTTTAGATTACTTAAATAAATAAATAAACTATTAAAAAAAAAAAACCAGTGAGATACAACCCTTAGGTTTGGACATTCAATTCTCCTTATCCAAATTAATCATGAATTAGTCAAGAAGAGTTGCCTAATCCCAACTCTCCACTTCCACCTATACCTATCCAAAACCAAAAGAGACTCGGTGCCTGATTTTTAGTCAGGGAGCTGAGAAAATTAGGGGAAAAGGAAGTCATTGGAAGAAATTAATGATAGGATGTCTGAAGCCTAATTCTCTGGGACCAAGATTTCCACTCTGGTTTTGATATTTTACTCATTGTCTTTATTCTTAGGTACCAAAGTAGGCACTTGATAAATGTTTGTTAAATCAATGACTTACTCAATTCTTCTTCTCTTTTAATGATATTATAAAGACTAAAATATAATCTTTAAAAGACACTTTATAATACATAAAGATGAAGGGTTCAGCAGCTCTTAAACAACAGTTCTTATAATGTTAGACAATTTTATTCTCACTTATTTTAAGCCAAGAAAAAATGTTCAACTATGTTCATAATGCCACCAAGAGGGACTCAATGTTTTATAACACGTATACTAGCAAGGAAATATCGATCCCCTAAAACATTTCTATCCTTACACAACATAGAAACATAATCATGTACTTAACAGATAACATAAAGTATTTTAAGATATTTCAGATCAAATTTTCACACTTATACATTTATCAGTGGAACCAACTTCCCAGAATTTATACTTCAATTTTTTTTTATCTCATCCTGCAAGAAGTGGATGATCAAACAGGCACAAGTCTCCTCACAGCCTCCTAGAAAAGGCATTCATGCAGAGTGCATAAAAACGATGCCTAAAACATGACAAGTAGTGGGGCAAGGGGGAGAAACAGATGTGCCAACTGGATGTTTGGCCAAAACTTTTGTGGGATGCAGAGACAGTACAGGGAAAACAAGTCACAGGCTAAGCCAGGAAGAAAGAGAGGCCCCGAGGAACAGCATGAACACCTGCAATGCAGCCACGCACCTCATACAAGCAGATTTCAAACAGTGGCAGGACGGACGTTTGGTCTCCCCTCACACATGCACCCCAGGGAAAATAGGTCAGCATTAGAATGTTTAAAAGACTAAGTAAAGAGAGGTTAATCAGGGGAAAGTGGGATGAAGGGGTCAATTTTGTAATCACACAGAGCAAAAAAATCAGACATTAGGCAGTAAAACAAAGAAAAAGGCTTGGAGCCCATGAAGTAATGAGAAGGGGTTCTGAAATAGAATCAGAGCCAGCGAACATTGCCAAAATACTTGGGGTTTGGAGATTAAAGAGTTTATATGACTGAAGATGTAGCTATTTAGAACTTATCTTTAATCACTTGTCAATTCTCAGGCTAAGAGGAGAACAATCATGGAAACTGTGACTTTTTAATGCCCAAAAGGATGTTGATGAAATGTCTTCTGAAATGTCTTTTCTTTCTCCCATGTATTTAGAAGCAATAACTGATAGAAATGGGAAGATTTTCCAGATGTGGAAGGATCAAACTGATCTTTGAAATATTCTTAAAAGTTTTGAAAACATGCAGAGAATGATGATAGAAAATCTTTTTGTTTCACCATTTAATAGAAACAGTGTTCTCATTAGTTGATGTTGCTGTATGCTAAAACACATGTCTTCCCAGCCTGTCAATGTTTACATCGGAGTGTAAGATCATTAAAGCAAGTACCTGGATAGCGTAATTATGGACACTCAATAGGCACAAAATGGTCTCAGAGAAAAAGAGCAAGTCAAACTTCTCCAAAAAAGATTTTTAAGGATTTTACTTCATGCTCTACTGGGGGAGGGAGAACAATGGAAATGATATCAACAAGTTGAGTTACTGAAAAACCATATAATCGAGTATACAATTGGAGAATCACCGAAGATGTGTTTGAGTAAATGTGTCTACTTTTAGACTACCTGTAAATCTATAAAAGCTATCAAATAATGGAAAAGGTTAACACAGGGGAACACTGAACAATTCACTCACCTTCTTCTCCACTAACCAATTCACCAAGTTGTTCATCAACACCGGAGCACACCTGGGAGATGATCTCATTCTGAATATCCACAATTGCATCAAAGTTGGCCACGTTGAAAACATGGTTTAATGAAGGTGTGGAGGCGATTTGTTTGAGTTCTTTTGCATCTGCAGCTTTAATGCCTTCAAAAACAAAAGGACCAGGATATATTGAAAAGAAAAATGTGCTGAATTAGGGAAGTTCTTTGTTTCTCAGTCCTTCAAAAGTAAAGACATTTGTAAGTCCTTATTTAGTCATAAACCAGAATTGCTTTGCTTCATAACGAATGTGCGACTGTTCAAATGACAAAGGCATTTTATAATTTCACAGAAAGTGGCCAGCCAAAAAGGAAAATGAATGGTTAATAAAACAGAGCAGGCTCTCATCCTAACCATGCCATCATTTGTCCCTGCCATCTGTAAAGATAATACTTTTTTCTTCCAGAGTCCTGAATGAGCTGGAACCCTCCAAATTCTTCAAGTATTACATAATATAGGAAACACATTTTAAAAAGCACTTAATGATAATACAAGGAGGATCTTTCTTAGAATCACTGGCCCAGCATTCTTTGAAAAGTAGAGAGGGCTGGCAAAAATATGAATACCACCTCACAATGCATAGGCTAAGGGAGTTATAGGAGAGAAATACATAAGCAGAATTTTACTCAAAGATGACATGGTTTAACACTACACTGTAAAATGCACTAAATACTTCTTCTTTTTTTTTTTATTTATTTGAGAGAGAGAGAGAGAAACAGTATGAGAGGGGAGAGAGTCAGAGGGAGAAGCAGACTCCCTGCTGAGCCAGGAGCCCGATGCGGGACTCGATCCCAGGACTCCGGGACCATGACCTGAGCCGAAGGCAGTCGCTTAACCAACTGAGCCACCCAGGTGCCCTGCACTAAATACTTCTAATAACATCCTTCCTTAAGGAATCCACCTTTCCTCTTCATAAGCATTAGGTATTGAGGGAGGTCTAAAGAGAAAATACTTAACCAAATGTGGCCTACCCAAAGAGAAAACTTCAACCCCTATATTTCGAAGCTCTCTTGCTGGAATTTCCACTTCATCTTGCGATTTGCCATCCGTAATAATAATTGCCACTTTAGGAAAGCCAACTCTTGCTCCAGCAGATTCCGTGAAAGTATTTTTAATTAAGTAATCAATGGCATCCCCTGAAGTGAAAAAGAAACATGTTCATTCACTCCTTACCACACAGTTTTGCCAAAGTAAAAAACCATGTGATTAATTTCAAGATTATTTAAGATATGAAAATTGTGCAATGTTTGATTTCTTCCCCAAACAGGTATTTCATTTATTTTCAACAATAATAAAATTTGTAAAACATACCCGTCATTGTGTTGCCACCTTTGTATGGAATTGTTTTAATTGCAGCAAGAAGGTCATCCCTTTGGTAGTACTGATTTAAGTTAAATTCAGTCCTGGTGTCAGAGCTGTACTGAACAACACCAACCCTTGTCTTCTCTTCTCCGATGTCAAAAGCAGACACAAGAGCACCAATAAAATCTAAAATGTACTTAAAATTATTTCTTCCCACACTCCATGAGCCATCCACGAGGAACACTAGATCAGTCCAGGCACTGACAGAGCATTCTGAAATACATTTGATATATTTTTAATTGATGTATTCTTAACTTTATCCACCTTTAATGAATACAAACTAACGTTGAAAAACTGTTGTATCCTTAAATCATTTTGTTCATTAGAACATATTCACATTGTTCTTCACCCACAACTGACATGCACAAAAGAATATCATATTTTATTAACAAACACAGAAGCATTTTCAGTGCCTTCATTGAGATGCATTTATGGAACTACATGGCTCTAAATTACTATATAAGACATTGTGCAAGAAGAGAGAAATAGATACATGACCTACTCTCCAAGAGCATGTGACCAAAGTATTCATGCTGTCAACCTATTTTTATACACAACATCCTTTTCCTCTTCTCTCCGAGTACAAATTACACAAAACATCTGGGAGATATATAAAATGAGCAGTGTCTTCAATCCTTGGTATTTAGCAATAAATACAAAACAATTGCTGGCCTCTTCAAGCAGATATATTTAAGTGGAAAAAAAGAGAAAATCTTTTAAAATTCTCCTGCATTTTAGAATATAATTGTCTAAAGTTTGCAGTGGGTTAGTCTAGAGGGTTAATAGAGTCTAACAGAAGTAAAAAAAAAAGCATAAGGGGGCCTGGGTTGCTCAGTCAGTTAAGTGTCTGCCTTCGGCTCAGGTCATGATCCCAGCGTCATAGGATCGAGCTCTGCATCGAGCTCTGCATTGGGGCTCCCTGCTCAGCAGGGAGTCTGCTTCTCCCTCTCTCTCTTTCTGCCCCTCCCCAACCCCCCCAGCTCATGCTCTCTCACTCTCTCTCTCAAATAAATAAATAAAATCTTTAAAAAAAAAGATGTAAAAAGAAGTATAAATATGATGCCAGATAGTCAAAAATATCTTACTGTCCTAATTATCAGTGTATTTAAATTTGACATCTAAAACCTACTTTTACAAAACAAAGAGTAGAAAAATATTTCCATTCAAAAGTAAAAAAGGCATATTATATCTTTAAATGCAATGATTGGCTTTTATAAATGAACACCATATCTTTCTTTTTCTCCGCAGTCAGAAGGAAAACAAGCTGATTTTCATGAAAATGTGTATTGAAAGGCAACACTAAGTGAATTTTCTGAAGATGTTTTCATCTTTGTAATCAGTTGGTAGATAATAAAAGAAATACTTGGCTACGAAGAGAAGGAAATGGTCCTGGAAAATTTTGCAAGCTAAATCACAAGTTGCATGCCTAAATAATTTTTGCACACCATTTAATGGGCCCATTTAAGTCTATTAAATAGTCAGTATTTGGTATAATGCTTTGATTTAGAATAAGTATCAATGGTTCAGGGAAAATATTAGCATTATAACTGCATACTACAAAGTTCATTTCAGATTATTAGACATCAGAAAGAATGATAAACAGGCATTTGTAGGGAAAAATTTCAGATAAAGGGGACTTTGTATTCAAATCCTTTTATTGTCCTCCTGGGTTATAAATCCAACCTTTATAAGGTGGCAAATTAGAAGTCCAAGAAACCCCTTAAGGGTCCATCCTGGTAAGTCAGACGAAGCAATAGAAGACAAAGGAGGCAGGAGGCTACAAATTGCCAAACCTAGATTGAATAAAATCCCTTTTATTTGGTTACAAGTGCACCAAGGATCATCGTGTATCTTGTTTTGTTTGGGGTTGGGCTCCCATTTGTATATTATAAAGAACATAATATAAATAAATAAATAAATAACACTGTAAACAGCGTTTCTCGTGCCTTTTTCTTTTCTAATTTGCCTCCATGATTCTTTGTGGAGGTGAAATAATAATAGAGGTGGGGCCAGAATGTATCCGAATGACCAGGAAAGTTGTTTCAAACTGCATAAGACTCCACTTCCATCTCTCACCCCAACATCATCTCTGGAAAATGTGTACTATTCTTTAGATATGTTAAGACCCACGTGTTACCAGAGATTTCTTACAGACACTGCCATCAATGAAAGGCAGGTAACACCACAGAGGTGAGCATAACACACCCAGAGATTTAGAAATATATTTTCATGGCAAGAAACTCTTCAAACACAAGGAGGGCATCTCTCTGGTGTTCTAGCTTTATATTCCTCATATATCCCTATTTCTATTGATTTGTCTTTGAGAAATGAGTTAAGTCTAGTGGTGAGCTTTGTTTTTCACCTACTGCCAAAGTCCTGCAAAAAAAAAAAAAAAATGTAGGTACACACCAATTCAGTTTACTCTCAGTAAAATGAATATTTAGTAAGTAGAATGAAATATTGACTAGAAACTCAGAGTGTAAGTAGTATAATTGTTTAGTCATATATTACTATTATATTGTCCATATTTCTCCTAGATAACACCTATAGAAATTATTAAGTGAATAAATTCAAAGTATGGATATAGCTGGAACATCTCCTTTATATTACATTTGTAACTTCTATAAATCTGAACAAAAATATTAAGGGAAATACTTACTTTGTATCACTGGTTTTCCAGGTTTCTTCTCTCCTGGCTTTGCCGGACCACCTGTTTGAACTGAGTCAAAACTTGATTATTACAAAAAGAAATGAACCCGTACAAATACTTCCTAAAAAAATACATATTGTTTTCCACCACTGTCTTTCAAATATATGATCCATGCCCAGCTGCTCAGAAAATACTGCCAAATAAGCAATGCCTTGCAAATAAATTATCTTTAGTGAGATTTTAGATATATTTCAAAAAGACATTGACATTGTTGCCTGGCAAAGTTTGCTGTTTTTAATAGTTTTCACTCATAACATTCCTGCTGCTTCCAAAGACCAGGGTTATAAATCAAGAATGAATTATTAACATCCATAAATGAGTAGGATCATAGAAAGAATAGTTAATACTGATACAAAGTAACTCTGCATAACAGATTAAACCTGAAAGTTGGAGAAATCTTCTGCAAAACAAAAGGCATAAGGGTACTTTATATGTGTGCTTACTTGTTAATTGTCCTATAACGGGTACACTTTCTTCTACTTCATCATATGAAGTGATTGTCACCACATACTCTATTTCAGGTATAAGGTCTGATAATAAAGTTTCAGTGGTACTAGCTGCAAGGGTAAATTCTTTAGTGGGCCCATCTGGAAATACAGAAAGGAAAATATGAATGCAATAAAATATCTTTCACATATAACATGACACAATATAATGTAATTCCCAGATATACTCAAAATTTAAAAAATTAAATATATATACATTTTTTCAGAACATCCAAACATTATCTTCTTCTATCTTCTGAAACCAAAACTTTGAAATTCTACAAATGGACTGGCATAGCATTTACTTATGATAATCATATTCAATATTTGTTTGAGGACTCAAGGATTCCTCTGGAATAAAGATATACCAGAATATCAAACCAAAATCTCCCATTTTTCTGAAGGTGAATGGTAGTAACAAAATTATTTCATAAATGAGACATAAAACAGAAAATAATTTAATTTTAAATTATGTGCTGGAGGAGAGTGAAGGAAGGCAAATAGGGGATGAAAATCAACTCAAGAACAACAAACACGTAGGTTAAAATTAGGCTTTGGTGGGAAGCAGTCTGTGTGGAAGCAATGCATTCTCCATCCTCAGATGGTTGCATACATTAATGGGTAGCCACAGTCCTCTGAATTGACTTAACTAGATATCAAACATTTCAAAATACAGTATACTAGGTATATACTTATATACTGACAGATATGTACTCCCTTCTAGATTATGTTCATTCTTAATTCAATCAGGAAACAGTAGTTCCTAGGGACTAAGTGCCTGCTAGGATTTTTAATTATATTAAATTTTCATCAAAACAGAAATAATCAAGGGGCGCCTAGGTGGCTCAGTCGTTACACGTCTGCCTTCAGCTCAGGTCATGATCCCAGGGTTCTGGGATCGAGCCCCACATCGGGCTCCTCCTCAGCAGGAAGCCTGCTACTCCCTCTCCCACTCCCCCTGCTTGTGTTCCTATTCTTGCGATCTCTCTCTCTCTCTCTGTCAATTAATTAAATAAATAAATAATCTTAAAAAAAAAAACAGAAATAATCAAGAAAAGTAACAGGTAGTATAATAGAACCCTGAGAAACATTCTGGTTTAAGTGTGGAGCATGCAGAACCAACCCGGGCCCCCGCAGGACAAGACACCAGGTCTCTGCCGGGTTGGGGGGTGTCAGTGCCAGTTTGGGGAGTATAGGAGTCAGTAATTTCCAACACATGGAAACTGGATAGGATTTTTTTTCAACAGCTTTTTTGCTTTGGAATGAATGAATGTGTTAACTGCCAGTACATTTGGGGAGAAAAGATTCAAAGAAGAAAAAGTAAATTCTTGACCCCTTAAGTTCCCAGATCCTATCAAAAAAATTTTTTCCCAATTCCTTGAGAAATTAACATTTTAAATCATTAGTATTTTTAAAGGCCATTAATATTTAAACACAGCTGTAGTGATAAATTATATTAATTCCATCCCTCTCTACCATCGGCCAGATAAGACTTCTTCCTACCACCTGGCCAGTGCTAGTAGAAATGGTTGTTTTTCCATTCCAAGTTAAAACTGAAAGTTAATCAACAGAGATTAGTTCTCCACCCTTGGGCAACATCATAAACACTAAAGATAACTCCTGAGAACAACCAAAACAAGGTGCTTTTTTATTTTGTTTTGTTTTGTTTTTCAAAGACTCTTAGCCTAGGATCTGTGGAATCCACCTAGCCAAAGTAAATTCTTCTCTTCCATCATGGCAGCTCACCATTATTCCAGAATAATGTTTCCTGAGTACTGAAATGTGTAGGACACTGGGTAAGGCATAACAACTCACTTCATCACTTGACACTTTAAATATTGAAAAGATTAATTCAAGAAGAATATCAAGAAGTGAGAACTCTAATTTATAAAATCAAATATTACCAGCAATATTCTGATCAAGCAAAAAAAAAAAAACTCCACTTTTAATAACAGCAGCTTAGCACAGTGAACCATTTTAATAAAGCTCAACACTACAAAAATATAATAGTGAGTACTAGGCTGGAAATCTGGAGACCTGAGTTCACCAAATATCTGGTGACATTGGCTAAATTCCTAAAGTTTTTTCTAAACTTCAGCTTTCTCATAATGAAATGGAAGGAGGAGAGAAGACTGGATTATATCATCTTTGATGTCTCTGTTTTAAAACCCCAATATCTCAAAACTTACCTGTTGTAGGGTCCACTGTTATTCTGTAACCCACAATTGGATCAGCTGGTCTTGCCCATGACATATGAACGGTATTTTCATCTATTATTTTAAAATTCAAGTCTGAAGGTGGGTCAACTGCAAAAGAGAGAGTTGATATCAATTACATTTTCCAATGTCACAAAGTGGTCAATTTAATCAATAAAGAATTGTGTCGAGCAAAGCTTACTAAAATTGTCTTTGCATAAATTTGTTTCCAACAAATATAGAAGATATCTTGTTGGATAAGAATAAAATTAAAAGCTGACAAGATATGACAAAACATCAGAGAGTATACATATTACAGAAGACAGCACAAAACACTCTTGATTCTTGAGTTGCTAGGTCATCCAAGAATGGCCAGCAAAATCAAGCATAATAGAAACATATTTGGATACAAGTACATACAAATACAATGAAATCACAGATAATAACCACATATGCAAACAATTCACATAACAATTAAAGGGATCTCAATACATGCGGAGAGCATTTTGAATAAGCATGCCAAATCACAACCTGCTTATAACCATAGAAGTTAATTTAGAACATTGACATAGTACTTTTTTCCCATAATGTGGAAAAGAATCACTGATGTTTTTGATTCTCTGCATCATTGTCTTGTTATAATTTTTGTTTGATAAATCTCAGTCTGTGCAGAGATGAAATTTAATGAAAGGGAGAAGTCATGGGAAATTTAGCACTGTTATGTTGCACAAGGAAATATACATTTAAATGTATATTCACATTCACATGGACAAATATTCAAAAATAGTAATAAAAGATGTCAATAATTTATAAATATATAAAAAGTATATATACAGATGTTTATAAAACTAATATTCTGCCTGTTTACACCAATACGCTGTATGTTTGCAAGGTGTAAACCAACACTGTTATTTTCCTTTGCAGCAGGTATACTCCATACTAGAAGTGGCATTTTAGATTAAAATGCCAGTATGGTCCTTTACAAAATGATGGTTAATTATGAAAAGACAACATCAAACCATATATTTATGGACATTTATTTACAGAACTTAAAGGAAACAGTGAAGAAGGATCAGCGATCTGAAGACATGACTGTGCATAAAAACTTGGAGAAGTCAATGACAGGAATAATTGAAAAGTACAGAAAGAAATAGTTTACATACAAAACTATACAGCTTCATGCATGTGTCAATGAAATGTTGACTTGTTTTTAGTTTCCCACAATGAACGAAAGCCTCCATGTACAATAGTCATTACACAAAGACGTTTCAGAAATATTTTATAATGATATTCTCTCTGCAATATTCATGCCTCATCATGCAGCATTGTACTGACTCACTGTCAGTGCATGGTCAATGCATTATAAATTACTACTCTTGAAGTAGGTCAACAAAGTAAGATGACTTTCAGCCATCCTTTTCTTAAGGTATTTAAGTCTGAAAGTATTCCTTGTGAGTCAGATTCTTTGCATCTCTTTTGAGGGATTACAGTCCCTTTATAGGTTTTCATAGAGGTCAATTGAAATACAGTAGTAGCTTTGAGACATGAGTCACAGAATTTAACTGGGGTTAGGGATTTATGTAATATTAATAGCATGTTTTAATGGAAATAAAACGAATTAAGCAAACATTTGCTTTGATGAACTGCTGCTTCCAACTGTAGGAGATGGCTTTTTATTTTCATTGGATATACTAGCAATGGAATGAATGTTATTTTCTTACTATCCATACACAGGCAGTGAGATTAGACTATTAATCTACATGCATAGTTTAATTATTCAACATTCTGCTGTCTGTAGTCATATTGCAAGGTTTAGCTGGAGTCATCTCTTAGTATAACAAGCATGCAACAAATGTTAATAGAACAAGAGGTATTAAGAATATCATTATAAAATATTGTTCCAGTAGCAATGGCTCAGGACAAATTTAATGCAAAGGCAGACACAACTGGCCTGAGCATGCTTTTTAAAAAAAATCAGTACATGGAAAAACAGTACCACCAACCTTGCAGGGAAATTGACCTGAAGCAGCAGACATTAGGTTAAAACTGCTGAAGGGCAGCAGCGGCCCACCTTGTTGGTTTCCAAATGACCAGGATTCCAGAAAAACTGAAAAATTGACTGTTGGGAAAAGTCTTTAACATTTCAGAGGATTTTAAGGTGTTCATAGAAACTCAGATGTGGTACTTGGGCATCAGAAGCAGGAAAGAATGGCCAACTAGCATGTGTGCACCAGACAGCCCACTCCACTTTCCTTCCTGCCACTTGTATCACGTGTAAAACCTTCCAGGCTTGCCACTCCATTTATACGTTTTTGCTTGTTCATTTCATGAAAAAAGATAACAAGGCAGGTGTGACTATGGACCCATGTCAACTTGAATCAATGCAAAACGTATTTTCGTTAATTTTGAAAATCTTTTCTTTTGCATAAAAATAATTCACAACTGCCATTGCATTGTCACAAGCTGTGTCTATGTTCCCCAAGACAATGCAGATGCCAGAATATTTCCAATATGAGCTATCTACAATGGATTATGATTGCAGAGAGCCATAGTTGCATAGAATGAGAATCCAAACCAAGAGAAATAGAACTCAAATTATAAATAAATAATATTGCAATCAGACATATATTCAAAAACCTGAATACCAATAATGAAAAGACTAAAATTTTAAGTACTCATAACTCCAGTAGTTTTAAACTCCCATTTAGGAACAATGCTTTTCCTTATCAATAAGCTATGCTATAAAAACTACATTCTGGTATTATTTTTGTTACCTACATTGGCAGGATGTGGGGCTTTTTAGGAATGATAATTATAGTTAGCATTTTCTGAGTGTCTACTATACAATAGGCAGAGTACAAGTCACTTTATATATTGTCTCTTTTTCTTCTCATAACAATCCCTCATAATGTGCCCTGTTTTCCCTGTTTCACAGATGAGTCAGTGAAATTCAGAGAGATTAACACAGCTAATAAGCAGCAAAACTTTGATCCCATAGTCAGACTCCAAAGCATACAATGTAAAGAAGAAGAAATATTTGAATGAATGACTAACTTTAGAAAGCAATATTTGTATATAGGTGCCTATTAATATATACCTATATATTTTCTATTCTATAAAAAAAATTAGTTGATGCCTGTTCAATAATAAATATGTAGTATTCAGATATTTCCAGTTCAGATATAGATAGAATTTGACAAATTAACTTTACACACTTTGTTTAAATCTAAAGTATCTATCTTGATATATATTTTACAAAACAGTTTTTTTCATTATGTCAACCAAAAGGAAATTTACCAACCGTGCAGAAATGAATGGATGGATGAAAAGATGGACAGATAGGAGAATTGTCTAATAAGTTTTGGTAACATACAAAATATGTTAAAGATAAAGCAAAACATAATACCAAAATATTATCTTGATGGATTGGCAAGACCTAGCAAGTGATGGATCATTCTGTACACATTACAAAATGTGTTCTTTCATGGTTGACCAGTTTTCCAGCAAGAAGCACAGTGTAGGCAAACTAGCACTAAAGTAAGACAAGGAAACCTAGGTCTCATCTGTACCTTGTCCTGAAGTAACTACATTAGTTATTTAGCCTCTCGTCCTCATTTCCCATTTGCAAATGAGAAAATTAGAATAGATGATCTGTAAGTTGCCCTATAGTCCAAAATTTCTGTTATGACACAGTATTATCAGATAAACATAGACACAGAACTATAGAAATATATATTAACTAGCCTTTTAACCTAGACACAAGACAATTAAAGCTTGTCTTTAATGGCCTCAACTCACTGGTCAATTGATAATATCCAGTTATTTCTCATAAATTATAAATACAAGTCAAACTTACTAAAATTAAAACCCTGTTTTTCACAAGACATGTTCATCTTGAATTCTAGATTAATTAGAAAGGTGTCTAATTCTCAGGTAACACTGGCCATTAAACTTTAAATGCAAAGTGTTAGGTTTTCTAAATGGCAATTAACATACTATATGATACATGAACCAAAAATGATTCATCCATTCTAGGTCATACAGAACACTGGCCAAGTTACAAGGCCAATAAAGTCTATGCTATGGCTAAGAATTACAAATACTAAAGGCCAGAAAAAATTCATTTCACTCTTATTTCCATAAGACAAAATACTATATTATGAAAAATAAAGTTCCTTGTATAAGCAGATAGAAGGAAAACAGCAGGAAGAGAGTGGTACCACAATAAAAAAGAGGAGATAAAAAAGTGTATGCCAAAACCTTTTAATTAATATCGAAAAAGGTATTGTTTTCAACATATAAAAAGTTAAGTAAATAGAAATTGGTTGGAAAATAGTATGAATTCAAGAGTTCAAGCATGACATTGTAAAAGGGAAAGAAAAGTAACTATGGTCAATTTACAACTCAGTTCAAAATGACATAGTAGGAAACAGGGGTGCCAGCTGAAATTTTGAAATGCCCCCCAATGTGTCCAAGAAATTTTCTTTCCAGCCATTGTCCCCAGAAAGGCCTTGGCCACAAATTTTGTTAGCCCTTCACAAGCTCATGAGACCACTTAGTTGGTAGTGAACACCCAAGCTGTGCTGTCCAATATGGGAGCCACCAGCCACATGGGGCTATCAAGCACTTGAAAGGTGGCCAGTTCAAAATGAAACACACTGCAAGTGTAAAATACATATCCAATTTCAAAGACTTAGTACGAAACTGTAAAATATCGCACTAAAAATTTTTATATTACATGTTGAAGTGATAACACAGTGGATATAGTGGGTTAAGTTAAATATACTATAAAGAGTAATGTCTCTTGGTTCTTTTTCCTTTTTTAATGTGGCAACCAGAAAATTTTAAGTTACACATGTGGCTTGCTACTGTGGCTTACAATATATTTCTTTTTGACAGTAGCAAACTAGAGAATAAGGCCAAAAAAATGAATCACATTAAAATATAATTATTAAATGCTGACCCTAAGGAGGTGGGAGACAAGAAAGACACAGCTTAAGAAAGCAACAGATTGAAAAGATAAAATGTGAGAAATGCAGAAATAATCAGTAATGTAGACAGTAAAATGTTCTCTTCTTTTTGTTATTGCTGTATAGTTGACACACAATGTTAAAATGTTCTCTTTAACTGCACTTTGCTAACCAGCCATTATCCAATTGAGAATGGATTTTTTTCCACTTACATCATTTCCAACCTAATTCTTTTCCTAAGAATTCTCAAATCTTTCTGATTTTCAAATAAGTATTTTCTTAATGAGCGATAAATAGGTCACTTCAGTGAATTATCTAAAAATATCTTTAGTAGGGCTTCCAGATGCTCCTCAAATAAAATTCCTTCCTAACAACGACATAGAGAGGAACATTAAAGGCAACCTCATCTGAGTATTACTTCACGGAAGCCACTCTGAAAAGCCTCTACATTCACAGAGTGGTCAGATAAGAAGAGCACCAAGTTTCTGTCACTTTTCTAAGCAGGCCACAAATGTTGGAACCTCTCTGTTTTTCCTAATCTTCATTTTTTTTTTTTTTTTTGGTACCTGCCCTCCTGAAGTGGAAAATCAAACAATAGAAAGTTTTTTAAAATCGCAGTGTTGTGATGAGCCGGCTCTCCTTTCCCATAACCTCTAAAAAAGTGCCATCCACCCTAGAATTCCCACAGCTGCCCCACGCTTTTCTTTCCTCCCTTAACTCCATCAGGGGCATTTTATTGGGAAAAAAAAAAATTAAGATGTCTATTATGGTATTACCCGATTTACCTTGCAAAACAATAACTCTAGTTTGTCAGGTCTTGAATGATAACTTGAGGGAACAGAAGCTCTCACTACGTTAATATACAGAAATAACTTTTTAAATAAATACTGAGAAATGAGGGTATCGAGGGCACACAATGAAAAGAATAAAGTGAGGTTGAAAAATCTCGCAAAGGTCCTTCGTTTTCTACAGGGCGGAGCCGTTTTGCAGACCTGGGGACCACGACACCCATGTCCCAGCCCCTGACCGACTCCACTCAGGTCTGATGCGGGAGGGAAGAAGGGAGGGACAGAGAGCCTGGCTTGCCTGGCGCCCGCTTGCTTCCTGGGTTGGAAACCTTGACGCAGACCCAAGCTGTCTGCGCGGGGCTGGGCCTGAGCCACGTTCCTCCGAGCCCCGCAAACCAAACAGGGACAGCAGTGACCCTGAGCCACGAGAACACATTCTGGGTCCGGATCTCTGCTTGCCACCCATCCTCTAGGCTGTTTGGCTGCCACCTCGTTCGCCTGCACCGCCCGCCTCAACGACTGAGCTCCCCACAAAACACACAGAGGCGCAGAGCCGGCACTGTTGGAGTCCTTTATTTCATGCTGTCCCCGAGGTCGCAGCCCCGAGCCAGGTGGTGAACAGCCACGCGAGCGAGCGCGCCCGCGCTCCGGGGCTCCCGGGTAGCACCAGGAGGCGTCCTGTTCGTAGAGCTGGGTGCAGCTGTCGCCCCCTCCCGGACGGCTGGTCCTCTCGGAAGGCAGCAGTGTAGGTGGCAGTGTGGACAGCACACCGCAGGGACAAGCGCAAGGAGACCACACAGCACTGTACGGAATGGATTAAGCAGAATGCGAAAGAGCTGGACCTGAGAGCTGGAACATGGACAGACCTCAGGAGAAGGGGGCGTTTCTCTTAGAGGAGAGAAACATCCCGAGAAAACACGCAGTACAGGGAAAACAGAGCAAGCAATAGTGGCAAGATCGTTTGCTTTGTCCTTTCTAGAATTCTACATTGTCACCGAGGGAGGGGGAAGGAAGAGCAATTTACCTTCCGCCTCAATGGAAGACAGGAGCAGGGCCGCGCCCAGGGCGGCAAGCGCTGGGGGAAGCCTGGTCCGCATGCTCGTCCTCCGAGCTCACAGCCGCATGAAGGGATCTGCGGGAGGAAGCGGTGACCTTTATCAGGACCGGGTCCGGGCAGGCCTGGAACCAGGTTAGAACTGGAGCCTGCAACCAGGCCAGGACCCGACCAGATCTGCCTTAATAACCGCAGGGCCCAACCCAGCACATAATGGGCCTATTGTGTAGCAGTGGAAGTCAAGGTCATCTACTGCAGTTTAATCATGGCACTAAGAGGGATTTCTAGTTTAAAGAGGGTCCTGTTTTCCTGGAGGTTGGTCCTGCTTAGCATCCCCTACCAGGCCCCACATGACTTCATCCTGCCTTGGTGATGGCTAATTCAGAGGTCATTTTACCCCTGACTTAACTAAATGTCTCTTCCAGCTGGGGATTTTATTTGGCCCTCAGCTTTTTCCTAGCTGCTGAACTCTTTAGGTAACTGTACTTTAGTGATCTCAGGGTAATTTGGAAAAGTATAATAAACCTCTTCTACTCTTTTTTTCTTCATTTTGTTCTGCCTACAAATATGCAGCTCTTTAAGGTCTGAAATGGATTATACAGAAATACGTAAGGCCCAGCTGAAACCTGACCCTACTGCTAGCTGCTTTGTCTTCACAACTGATAAATCCTTTACCCAAGATGAGGGGAAAACAACTCTAAGATACATAATTAGAAAAGGACAAGCCATAGAAGAGACAAAAAAAACACTCTTGTCTGTTTTCCCAAGATATTTTTTATAAAAATTCTCAGTAATAATATTTTCATTTAACATATTTTCACTTCACTTATTACAGAAGACTACAGATTCCAAAAGATTACAGGTATATACACTCCACAGGAGAATATGTTCTATTCTGATTTTTCCTGATTCTGTAACTAGGTTATTAATTCCTTAAAGACAAAGAGTCTTATTCATCTTTTGTGACTCCCAGCACACAGTAGGTGCTTAATCTATGTTGGCAGAAGGGAATCTTCTAAAATATTCTAAGGTCTAATCCAGACACAAAAGCTACTAGCAATGAACTGAACTGGGAAGCTGCCAGAGGCAAAACATAAAAAAAGATTTGACGGTGAAGTACATAAATTATTGTAAGGCAACAGATGAGGACGCTTGAAAAACGAAGTCCTGCTTGGGAATCCAAAAATGAGCCAAAGGTCCAGCCCTCTTTGAGAAAAGAAACTGACAAGCTCCAACCATGCCCTTCCAAATTATTGGCACAATGTATTAGGGCATCTTTCCTCGGCCTGAGTGTAAATTGCATTTTAAACGTCTGATGGGCAGGCGTGCCAAATTGCCCAGAGCTCCTTTTTATGAAGCCAAGATTAAAATGTTGGCGCTGCTCTGAAGATTCAAGGGCTCCAGCGATTTCTTTCTTCCTAATTAACAGCTGTTTGACATTTCTAACCCTTTTCTACCATCAGTGAAAAGCAGGAGGTGAGACTGGCCCATTGTTCCCATCAGCTGGCCTTAACTTTGCTACAGTAATTTCCAACTCAGTTGGCAGTCGTGCTCGCGAAAAGTTAAAGGCTGACAATCGACCCATCAAAAAGCTCTGTGCAGCTTTTTTTTTTTTTAACGCTGAACTCTTCACAAAAACCTTAATCGTGGAAGTTCTTTTGTCTGGGTCTAGAGCGCCACCTATTGGCTGCCTGACTCAGCGGCAAGAATGAATCATGTTGCGTTGGGATATCGGAACCTACAGTCAGTTCTACCAGCCCACCATTCATTCCGTCCATATGTTAAAAAAAAAAAAAAAAAAGTTTTCTCTCCTTTTAGCCAAAACATTTATGTGAATACTTAGCTCAATGCTTCACTGAACATTCTCAGACATAAATGTATGAAAACGGCCGCCCCTACGTGTCAGGAAGGATTCCCTCACTTCACTCTCATGAATGAAAATGAGTCAGTTGCGGAGGAGCGGGTGGGGGGAGAGGTCTTAAGGGATTGGTCTCCTTCCACCAACTTGCCCCCTCCCCCACCCCGCTGGAAAAGACCAATTCTTGAACTCCCGCGTCCAGTTAAAAAAGAAAATTACACTTCCCCCCCGCCACCCCGCGGGGTTCCTCCAGATTCTTTGCAAGTCACCTACCTCCTCTTTTACCCGCTGCGACCTTGACATTAGTTAGCCAAGGGCGAGTTTAGCGCTCATTTCCTTCCTTGCTCCATCCTCCCCCAGTGCTCCCGCATACTTTAGGCTACATAGTCCAGGCTGAGGCGGGAGGGGGACGGGGGAAGGGGTCCTGGAACGCCCTGAATGGGTCACCTTTCCCAAAGGACACTCGACTTGGGGTACCTCTTTTGCTCCCTGGCTTCGCGTCTCCGCTCCATAAATGAACCCGGCGCCCCAAACTCTCTGATCTCTCTCCCACTATGTGGGATTTTGGATGGAAACTACTTCAAAGGTTGCACGGACCCCGAGTAGGGCCTCGACCAATGCACTCGGGAAGAGGTCGGGAGGGGGAGCTTTCTCCAGAAGTTGAGAAAGTCGGCCCAGGATGAGTCCCCTAGAGCTGGATTAACCCACCATCTCAGATGCTTTGAAAAGCAAAGGAGCCAGAACACTCGACTAGGAATCTGTCTCGAGATGCCACACACACCCGCGCAGCTTCGACGAGCTGCAGAGCACTCAGCCGGCCCTCCAAAGAATTCCGCACCGTGCGTCACTAAAATACCTTCCCAGCGCCGGGGCTGCACCAACGCACCCCCGGGAAAGCTACCGCCAAGAGATAACGAGGTGACCACAGAACCTGGGGCGCCCTTCATCGAAATCGACAGCATCTATAGATGAAATTTCTCTACAAACACAAACATTGAACAGGGTGCATTACGCACACACCGCCGCCCTGCACAGCTCTTAAGAAAAGCTACAATTCGGGGCGCCTGGGTGGCTCAGTTGGTTAAGCGACTGCCTTCGGCTCAGGTCATGATCCCGGAGTCCCGGGATCGAGTCCCACGTCAGGCTCCCTGCTCAGCAGGGAGTCTGCTTCTCCCTCTGACTCTCCTCCCTCTCATGCTCTCTGTCTCTCATTCTCTCTCTCGCAAATAAAT